TGCTTGTGATGCTAGACCTTTCTACCTGGCATGCAATGAAGTATTTTGAGGCCTTGCTCTTGGTTTGATTCAAATCTATGGGAGTTTGAGCAGGGCTGACCCCTTAGACTTTAGAAGTCCCAACTGTAATGTGAGACTTACTCCTTTACTCTTGTGCAAATGGCCATTTGTGCCTGGACATCACCTCTGAGTCCAAGTGTGTCATCACTTGTTCTTTAGCTTCTGGGCAATTGTGTCTTTGGTGCATATGGCCCGGAAGCGTCGAACCACCGCTACCCACTGTACAAACAGCTTGGAACTGTTTTATTTTGAGGCCCTTGTTTTATTTTAGTTTAACTGCTCTATCTCCCCATTATTATCTTTTCCTTCTGTCGCATTTCTGCTTCTCCTCAGACGCCCTCTTCCCACACAACTGGTTTTATTTGCTAAAAAAAAAAAGGTCTCAGGAGATGATCTTTTACTTTTCATATATTTAAATGGGTGGAATTCAGACTCTGCTACACGGGGTATGGAGCATCTCGCTCTCTTCTGCATGTGTACAGCACCTAGCACAATGGGGTCCTGGTCCATGACTGGGACTTCTAGACTTTATTGCAATACATATCATTGTTATCAACAGTAAATAACAACTTCAGCAATGGGTTTAATATGTATAAAGTCCCACATGACTTGGGTTAACGGGTGCTACTTCTCTCTGTGATATTGAATCCCATCAACAGAAGCACTCCCATTGCAGCCCCCCTAGTATGCACAGAACGGGATTGCTGACGGGTCCTTTCCCGTAAGGGGCCTGCCTCAGTCACTTGCACCCAAGATTCATGGATATTCAGGGACTGCTGCAATCTCTTCTCCCTCTCTGATTTTACTAAAGCTATTGAGGAGGGTCGGGATGAGGTAGAGGTACTCCTGGGAAGTCTTTTGCTTATTTTTAGAGGTTGACTTTGCAGGACCAACACAGAAATAGAAATATTCTTTACATTTTAAAACATGAATAAAATAGATCCGTAACAACAGAAGATGCCATTCTTCCCCCCATGAATGTCATCAGGAACCCTCCAAATGGTCTGTGTGGGGCCCAGGACTATACCACATCTCTTGTAAATGGTTCTTATTAGTTTTTATTCACTACACCTATGCTCTGTACTGGGGCAAGGTGAACTTCTTTATAAGCAAACATGATGATAGCAAGTGTAAAGAGAGCTAACATTTTTTCAACTGTTAAGCTCTCCCTGCATCCGTCCTAAGTGTTATATTTGTCCAAATTATACTGTGAACTGCCTAAAGAAGGGACCGGCGCTTCGTAGACAACACCAGTAGTGGGGAAAGGATGACATACAAACCTCAGCTAGGAAGGACTTAGAAGAAAAACATTCTGAGAGAGAAATACCAGATAGATGGGCAGATAGATCTTAATGAGCCATATGGCCCTTTTCCAACTCACCATTTTCTTATGCTGCTTATTTATATAGAAACGACTGAAGCCTGTCCTGAAGGGGCCCATGGAAATTAAGTATCAGGATCCCACTGATCTTTGGATGCAAGCTGATACCTGATGACCCTCCATAAGTGCCTGTAAAAAGCCCAGCCTAGAGTAATAAATCTAAGGCTAAATTAGATTAGATTTAGCTAAGGCTAAATCTAAGCTTCTGTGGGACACAGATGGTAAATGTCCCTTGTGCAGTGCAGAAGAGCAGTCGAGAAGGCAACAGGACCGTCTCCCTTCTTGTATGTGCCCCATGCAGTCTCTCACTATTATAGTCTGTGCACTCAGAAAAAGCACGGTCTGTTTTCCTGGCTTGGCCCTGCAGGAAGAAGGCATGGAGCCCTCTCAGAAGTGGGGCTGTAACTCTGGCATCAGCAGGGTGAAGCATCCTAAAGTGGCGTGCAGCCTTCTCGGTTTCCCTGAACTTCTCCTGGGGTAGCGCAGTTTCACTGCACCTTCGGTGTCAGTAAGAGACTTCATGTAACAATTCATGAAAGCTGTACATTTAGAGGAAATCATTTCATTTCAAACCTGCTTTCTTGTTAAATCCAAGACTGGCTGAAGTTGCTCAAAATGTTGTTTTCTGCTGAGTGGCATTTGTGACAAAATCCTAATTTTCATTGAAAACTTTAATTAAAAAAAAAAAAACACAAGGAAAAAAATGGGGGAAACTTCATTTGCATCAAGATTTTTCATGGGGGAGAATTTTTTTCTGACCGGCCCTAGTCAAAATCTCTGCAAAGGATAACTTTGGCCAACCCCTGTCGAGTACAAAGAGAAGATGTTCTAGCAGACTAATTGGACTACAGCAAAAACCATCTGTGTGTTTTAAATTTCCTCTCAGAGTACCATCACTTCACAAAAAAAAAAAAAAGCCCACAGCATTTATGAATTAAATGCATTTTAAAATACAACGTCCTAATATCCTAAAATAGATTACTAGCCGAGAAGCAGAACAGCAGCGCTATCTGCTTCTACCGGCTCTGCAAGCCGGTGTCAGTGATAAATGGATGTGAGAATTGCATTACCATGCGTGCATACGGTGATGTTACCTGGTCATATTGCAGGGCCTTGTGGGATACACTGGCATATTGAAGGCTCAAGCGATTCTTTTCTTGCACAGCATCCTTCAGTTCATTTTCCTAGAATAAAAGTAAAGGTATCAGAGGTTACTCATCTCCGTCATTGTCCATCCTAATGAATGCTTGTCTTAAATAATCAAAGCACGTGCCCTACTGGATATTATCACACGCTTAAGTGTGCTATCAGGAACAAGGCCCTGAAAAAGTGTCAAGGTGCAGTTTGTGATTACAAAATGACTTTCCTAACAATGTTTTTCAAGAGGAAATCTGGATCAGGAAAAGCGGAGGAGTGACTGGAGGGATGCAAGAGAGAGGAAAGAGAGAACAAGATGACTGTAATTTGTAGCTCCCCATGGAGTGAATGAAGACCCTAGTATCATGGCTTGAAGATGGCCAAATTCTTGACCTCCCATTCCTTGAAAAACTTCGAAGGGGAAGACGATACAGCAGTGTCCTCAAAGATAGAGCTCACAATCTACCAATCATTCACAAGGCAGAAAGTGAAATAATAGCTGCTGCTGGACAAAATATCATCATTTTCCAGAACCTGCGTTGAGTACTTTGAGAATACAGTGACAGGCACTACAGAGATATGGATAGGTAAGGACAGCGAAATAATATAACTCCAGGCCTCAAGGCATCACCTACAGCTGTAACTAAATATCACAGTGGGAAGTTTGGCACGAAAGGAAGCACAAAATAGAGAAGAGCTAACAGGAATTCACAGACTTTGGGAGTGAAATGGGCTGTATCAGATGACAAAACTCAGGTTTTATATAACTCCTGAATCAGGTAGCGTGTTCTGTCTGTTCTGACACACGCACCTGCATGCGCGCACACACAGTCTGTCTTGTTTTTTGCAGGAGTTCAAGCAGGGTGACTCCATGAAATCAAAGTCTTTCAGAACAAGTGCAAGGGAAATGGCTGTTAATAGCATTTGGCCAAGAAATAAAACTTGACTGAAAGGGCTTGAAAAAGGTAGTTACGTTGACCTGCCCATGAAGTTTTCAGCTGGGGGGAGAGGGAGCAAGGAAGAGAGGGAATTCTGATGATTTAATAATCAAATTACATCCAAGTATGCTAGTCGGGACTTTTTGATCTTTTTTCTTTTTTCAAGTCCTGACCTTGTCCCCGTGTAAAAGTGGCCATTACGGGACTAGCGTCGGAGTTTTGCTGGTCTGGGTAAACTAGAGCTGTCCACTCCATAGTGTTTCATCAGAATATTACCCCTTTTTATTGTTGTTGTTGCAAAGACCATTTTACCATATTTTGACCAACTCTGCAATTAGATGTCGGTTGGATGGCGGGTGCTGGGCCCGTCAAAGGTCAGTTGACTAACAGACAATGCAAAGAAAAAATGCTTCTGAGTTTTCTTGAGCCTGGATACAACGCCCCATCCTCCCGCTTCCAACACACACACACATGCACCCCCACAGCCCAATGCTAAATTTGAATGGGGTTGACGTTCACAGTATTTAATACATCTGAAGTCACTGCACATTACACCACTCATCCTGACATCCTCATACTGGCACAGTATCAGTCTCTGACTTATTTTGAAATTCTCTTCTGACTGTTAATTGTCGAGTGCCGCTGCATGGAACTAAACAATAAAAAAGGCTGAGGTTGCAGATTATTCAGAGTCTCCTGGCTGCAGATGTATCATCTCGCACATAAGGAGTTCAGTAATTATAATTTCTCAAGTTCTCTTAAATCTGTTGTTCAGGATGCAATTAGAAGTGGTAGTCATGCTCTGTGGGATGCTAGACAGTTCTGTGGGGCAAAACAATTTCATAGCCCACAGCACATTTTAAAAGTTGTGAACTAAGTCAATAAATATTTTTAGGATATGAGCAAATGGCACAAGAGTGGGACAATCCCTTGGATATGCAGATACATCCTTTGTGTTACCAATTATTAGAAGGTACTTGTTTAGGACTGTGATTTTACACTGTACTTTACAAAAAGAAAAAAAGGATGTCTAACTTGCAAATGACTCCTACACTTCTTATATGGCCTGACCAAAATCATAATCCAGAATCATCTGTGCTGTAGGACCATTCATTATTAAATAGAAGTACATTAGGGTTGTACCCTAATATTTAAATATTATTTAATATTGATATTTAATTTTTTTAAAAATCCTTAAATTTATAGCTTGCTTTAAATAGAGGTATGAACCTGCATAACAATGACTGATTGCACTGTAGCATGGCAAGCTCTTTGCAGCGGTAGGGCTGGAGTACTGGTGTGGCTGTGATGGTCCAGGAAACGTTCGTGATAAACTTCACAACTTCCCTGTGAACCTAGCATTGCTCCCTTATAGAAATGGGAAACTGAAGAAAGATATGATGTTAACCTAACTTGTTTTGTGCTGCCTATTTTCTTGCACACATGAAATGACACATTAGGAGTTCTCAAGTATTTACTACTATTTCACTATATTACAACGTGATAATGGGCCTGCCTATTGTACAAATGCTACACCAGCCTGGGCAGGTGTCTATACACACAGGGATGCAGAAGCAGACACAGGGCCTGGGATGGGAGATTTTTATCATCAAGCGGGGCCTGGGAGCTCCCTGCTGCCGGGGCAAGGGGACATTGTTCCCACCTGGGCTCTGGCGGTGGAGCCTGTCCCAGCAGCTGGCAGCTCCTGGGTGCAGGGAGCAACCTCCCATCCCCTGCTGACTGGGAGCACATTTGCTCCCGGTTGGCCATCTAAACATGCTGTACTGCGCAGTACATAATCAGGAGTAAATATGCTACTTGTATTTACAGGTAGCAAATTTACTCGTGGTTAGTGCAAATTACTGGGCAGTATGCATCTGCACGTGTAGACGGTGATGCTTACTGTACAGTAATTAGCTCTAATCTTGAGTAATGTGTCTCATGCTGTCTCACTGTAACTAATGCTGCAAGCAGGAGGATTTTTCACAGATTTGAGAGCCAAAATGGACCATTACGATCTACTCTGACCTCCTGCATAACTCAGGTCAGAGAAACTCACCCAATAATTTTCCATCAAGCCCATAACACCACTGCGTGCTATAGCACTCCTTTGTAGGAAGGCAGACAGTCTTGATTTAAAAATTTGAAGTGACAGAGAATCCACCACATCCCGTGGGTAAGCTGACCCAAGGGTTAATTGCCATCACTGTTAAAAACCTGCATGTTATTTCTTGTCTACTGTCAGCTACCAGCCCCTAGATCTTGTTACATCTTCTCCAGTTAAAGAGGCACCTAGCCAAAGGAAGTGCATCCTGTTGCCTCCTTTCAACCTGAATGCAGGTATTTGTAAGGCATGGTCAAGGCACCTCTTAGCCTTCTCAGGAATAAAAGAAAAGATGTTTCCATTTTTGGAGTATTAAACCTGCTTGTCATGCGTGTTACATAACTATTACGGCACTTGGACAGAACATGAGCAAATTAAAGTAGTGTAACATTGGGTACTGTAAAATGCCTTGCAGCAGCAAGATTAATCTAATCTGTTTGCGATTGGAGGGAACTCAGGCAGAAGCCCCTCTCTACCCCATCCCCCACCCCACCCCCCAAAAAAAATATTCAGCAGCAAAATGTAGGCCACCATGCTTCAGACTGTTTTAAATCTCCAGATAGGAGACTGGTTTATGAGACAGAGGGCAGAGTAACTGGGCCGGTGGTTAATTTGACTTGAAGGAAGATATATTTTACCATGTCATTTGCAAGGCTGAATTCAAGAAAGACGGTATCCCTCTCCGTTTCACTGGTCCTTGGCTGTACGTCTGTTTGTTTTCACGTACGTTTGCTGTATGCCGTGGCGGTAATTCCTTTCTTTGCATTATGGAATACGGTAGTCTCCCGGCATTTGCCAAGATAAACAAGCATCTTTGTTCCCCAGCACAAACGCATCCTTAGGGACCAAGATGCACCTGTGACAGGGGCAGACTTTTAGCCTGAACAGCATGCAGAAAAAGAAACATTCACAACGACGACGACAAAGCCCTGACTCTGTTTTTTCCTGCAGTATCTGGCAAGAAGGTATAATTTATCTGAATGCTTGCCGGCGATGCCCCTCATAACCGTGCCTACAAGGTATATGCACACGAACAGAAGTGGATTTTCAAAATGTTAACCCCTTTTTCCTGATGAGGATTAAATGACTTTTTCAAGGTCACACAGGAAATGTTTTGCCAAACCAGAAACAGAACCAATTTTCAGCCAAGGGCTTTAAGTACAAGATCAACCTTTCTTTCAGCTGTAGGCTGTAGCCTACAATAGCTCCTGCCTCTGTGAATGAGTTAGTCTATAAGGTGAGTGAGGCAAGTAGCTGTGCTAGTCAGGGTAATTGCACCTTATAGACCATAGTCTCCCTCTACCTGACTATAGTCCAATAAAGTACAAATCTACCCTGCCTTTAATAGCAGAATGAGCAATAAATGTAACCTCAGAATCAGATCTGCACCCGTGCTGCGGTTGGGGAGTTGGGGCTGGGAGTAGCAATGGTGGCACGGGTGCAGGTCCCATCTGTCTGGCCCTAGTGTGGGTGCGGGGATAGCCTCTTGCCTCTGGAGCCACCCAGTCCACTCTGGCCCAGGCTGTTCTGGCCCATGGCTTGTATAAAGCTGTCAATCCCTGAACTAGATTATTGCTGGGAGGCTCTCACTAAAAATCTTTCATAGCCCAAAGGAGTCTGTGTGCACAGGCTTGTTGGTGCATGAAGCTGCAGAAAAGCTCAAGAAAAGATAGTCCTGCTGCACTAAAACAAAGGGCTGTGCTGCACGTTCTGTCTGTTCAAAGCCGGATGGGCGCACAGCTCACAATTTCCCCTATGACAAGCTCACTCTGTAAGGCAATAATACTACACCAAGGGGCCAAGGCACCCAAGGGGTGCCGCAGGGTGTCACGAGGTATGAGGCGATTTTAAATTTTTTTAAATTTTGGAATAGTTTTTGTGTTTCAGGTCAAATGAGCCAGATCACTTCTGAATCCTTTTGACTGAACAAAACTCAGCCATTCAAACACCGTATGTGGCACTGCAACCAGCAAGCATCCTCCACCCCAGACTTCTCAGCCTGAGG